TGAGTTCAGGGTATATTTCATCAAGATCGGTTAAGAAACACAACCGTTATTAAAGAAAATATGATTTGACACTCCTCGTATCAGCGTCAGCAAGCGCAAATTCTAAGAATTTCTTTATACATGTACACACACACATTCATGCGCGCATGCTTCAATTTATATCAACAGCATTGCAATTGCGATTGTATTGTTTTCTGTGTTGCTAGTTTAATTCTTTTTTTTTTCTCAACAAGACTTAATTATTGGTGTGACTGTTGAGTAGAGTCGTCAGCAAATAATGCTGTCAGTTGCAAGCTCGAACCCTGTCATGGGAACTTTTCTTTTTTAATTTATCTTTACTACTTCAAACGAGCGCATTGCGCGAACTGCATTTGATGATAGATTAAAAGAGTTCAGGGTATTCCCTAGTCGGGAACTCCCGACTAGAACATCTTACTTGTTAATATTTTAAGAAGGCTAAGTCTCACAGAGTCCATTGAATTGACCTCTACCTCAAGGCCGGCTTATTTGTCTGCTGAGAGGACCATTTGCGGCGCTTAGATAAATAAAATCAAAACAAAAGGAGAATAATGTTTGATTGAAGAATGGCTTTCATATATTACCGACAACTGACACTTGCTTATGCAATCACAGTATTTGAACTTCGTAAATTTAAGAAATGTTGGGAGTAGTGGAATCAGCCAATGAGAGCTAAGGATTTAAAATTTGAATGTGGTTCTACCTTGAGCCCTCATTTTTAATCATTAATAATCTTCCGTTTCTTCGATATCAAGAACCCATATGAAAATCTTTTTCTTGATACCATTTCTTAGAGCTTTCAAGAGATATAGGCAGAACATTTTGTATGTGGGCTTTAACATTATATACACGAATCCGGAATGAGTCACCTTTTGGATACCCGAGCTGCGCAGCAAGCGGCGCGGTACATTTTAGAGGTGTTTCACAATTTTTAAAAATACACCCCTTCTAAGGGGTCCAAAATTTGGTGTGACAAGTTTCGGGCTCAAAATTATTTCCAAGAATCTTCATGAAATTTCCACTTAAGTGTAGTGGTCAAAGGAAACGTGAGTGAACGTGTAGCGATTTTCGTCCCTTATGGATGAAAAGTGCAGGCTAAAGTTTGTCCTGTGAAGTTTCGTAATTATTTATGATTCGTATTAAAATGTATTTTAGCCTTGCGAATATAATTTCTGTTTCACACCTTTTGAAAATCCTCTGGATGCAAAATGCTGATCGAAGGTCTATAAATCAGAGTATATATATACACTAGTCGGCATAATTATTTTGACGAATGAAAAATTGAGCATTTATAAGTTTAATTTTTTAACAGATTTGTTAAGAATTCTTCTTTATTTTTTTCATTTTTATATATAACTAATACAAACTTAAAAAAAAAGCCAAACAATTTTATTTTCATAGAAACGTAAGAAGAAATCGATTAATTAGTAATTTCATGTTTTTTGACAAGAATGTAATACTAAGAAAACAATATTTAAGCTTAACAAAAGCAAACAAGTAAGATGCTCTAGTCGGGAGGTCCCGGCTGGAAAATACCCTGAACCCTCTTCTATCAAATTCTTCATCAAATTCAGTTTGCGCTACGCGCTCGTTTGCTTCAGCAGTACTAAAAATAAATTTAAAAAAAAAAAACTGTTTCCTCGATAGGTTTCGCACTCGTAACAGACCACACAATTTGCAAACGCCTTTACTCAACAGCCACACCGGGAAATGGGTCTTAAATAGAAAAAGCGGAGTAAACTAGCAGCACAGAAAACAATACAATCGCAATTGCAAAAGGAGACGCGTGTGTGTGTACATGTATACAGAAATTCTTCCAATTTGTGCTAGCTGCCGCAAACACGAGCCTGTCCAATACACACTTTCTTTAATAATTTTTGTGTTTCTTAACCGATCTTGATGAAATTTTCAGCAGTAGATCGTATTGTACTAGAGACTATTCGTCAATTGCAATAAAATTGTGCCTTAAATTGGTGGGCAATACAAATTGGACTTTTTACTTGATATATAGTTATAACTATTCTCGAAGTTACATGCCAAGTTTGGTAACCTAGAGGTTTGTTTTACAATACGATTTCGATGCCAATTTTGATTGACTACTTGGAAACGAGGCAAGTTATCTATTATCGGAAAAAAACTTCTAATGCGCGGGAGTTACCGAATATACCACACAGGATATACAAGATTCGGTTCCACCCGCCAAGCCGCCGAAAAACGGTCATTGCCCAGACAAGACCAGCGCAGCATTGTGACACTTTGTTGCAATGTGCTCCTAGTGTCAGCGCAGATCGAGTTTGTTTCCGATAATTGATAACTTACACCGTTTTCAAGCTATCAATAAAAAGCGATATCGATATCCTGTTTTTTGGGCAATTTAGGTAAATAAGAAGAGCTAGAGTCACCAAACTTGACATATAGCTTCTAAAATAGATTATATATATGCATTTATTGTTGGCAGAAGAGGGTTCAGGGTATCCCCTAGTCGGGAGTTCCCGACTAGAACCTCTTACTTGTTATACCCGAACCCATTGAAAATGGGTAAGAAGGGTATAATGTATTTGTGCAAGTGTATGTAACAGGCAGGAGGAAGCATCTCCGACCCCAACAGGTATACATATATATTCTTGATCAGCATCAAGAGCTGAGTCGATCTTGCCATGTCCGTCTGACTGTCCGTCCGTCCGTATGTATGAACGCAAGGATCTTACAAACTATAAGAGCTTGAAATTTTAGCTGTAGGTCCTCCTGGTCCATGCGCAGATCGAGTTTGTTTCCGATTATCGATAACTTACTCAGTTTCCAAGCAATAGATAAAAATCGATATCCATTTTTTGAACAAATTGGGTAAATAATAAGAGCTAGAGCCACCTAAAGTGATATGTTAACTCTAGAATAGTGTATATATATCAAGTATCTTTCATTTTATACCTATCGTCACCTCCCCGCTACCATCGCAATGCTATAAATCAAGTAAATAGCCCAACTTATATAATACAATTTACTTTTTGAGAATACACACACTAATACACTTATATTCTATGGTACAATAAGATATACTGTAGAAAATTTGATTAAGATCGGTTAAGAAACAAGAATATGTACACACACATTCATGCGCGTCTGCTTCGAATCCATCAACGGTTTTACAATTGCGATTGTATTGCTTTCTCTGTTACTATTTTAATTCGTTTTTTTCTCACTAAGACTCAATTATTGATGTGGCTGTTGAGTAGAGGCGGTGGCGTGTGGTGTTGTCTGTCGCGAGTTCGAGACCTATAGAGGAAACTTTTTGTTTTTGGCTGGTGTGGTTGTTCAGTAGAGACGGCGGGAAGTAGTGCGGTTAGTTGCGAGTTCGAACCCTTACAAGGGATCTTTTTTTTTTTTGTATTTTATCTTTGATACTATTAAAGCAAAATACCGCGTAGCGTGAGCTGAGTTGGGATCAGGAACATCCCGACAAACAACTACAGACTGTGACAAGAATAACCTCAACACCGTCAATGACTTCGACTTTAAGCTCCCCTCCACCCAACCAAACTGCCATAACAGCAAACCAGATGGACTTAGTTTGGTCCCTTAGAATCCCGGAGGTGATCTGCTTCCTACCGCCTTATGACGGTAATCCTAAAAAACTAAGCGTTTTATTAATAATGTAGAGGAAATCCTAATCCTAATAAGAGGAACGGATAAGACCCCATGTGGACAAATGCTCCTAAGGGCAATTAGGCTGAAAATTAAAGGCAAGGCTGGTGATGCGGTCCACGCATCTGGAGTCGGCCTTAATTTTAATGAGATTAAAGATGCTTTAATTCTGCATTGTTCCGACAAGCGTGACGAAACTACTCTCATGTTCGAATTACATAACCTCGCTTTTTCTCAATACCCAATACAACTTTTAATTGAAAAAATTTGCGAAGTCAGAACAGCCCTTTCAATTTGACAGATACAAAAGAATGCGAACCAATATTGATACAAACAAAGTAAGGATTGTTCGCAAATACTTGTTTAAATAAATAAATAAATCGATGAGACCCACTAACCTTTAGGAAGCCTTCGAATGGGCTATTAAAGAAAGGGGCATTTACTTCCAAGAAAATAGGAGGAAGCAAGAAACTGACGGGCTGCAAAAGGGATATCAGGGCAACCAAAGTAACGGCTGCAAGCCAAGAGAGAACGGAAAGAAGAGGGACTATCGACAGTGCGTCCCAAATGAAAAGGACCATTACCAACATAAAAAAACGTATCAACAATAATGCCAAAAGACCACCAGAACGAACAGAGAAGACATGAAAACTCAAACTCGAACACAACCAGGGATTCATTGTACATTGTAATTCATTTAAAATCCGGATACCCCCAAAGTTTCTAATAGACACAGCTGTAACCTTGTCGTTCATCAACCCAAAAATTGTCACTGATTCAGACGAAAACTCTTAGAAATCCAATTTCCATTAAAACAGTACTTAACGTACAAGTTTACAGAGGCCAACAACACCAGCTCCAGATGCTGATATTGCACTGGGCCGGATGTTCTTACGAGTTAACAGGGGTCAGCAAAATGCAATATAACACCAGCCACAGATGCTGACATAGTTCTGGGCCGAATGTTCTTGGACGACGGCAGCGCACGAGGCGCAAGCTAAGCATTCTAGCAGCCGTTGTGAAAAGCACACAATAGCATAGGTAATCCTTTATAAATTTAGTTTTTAATTCGGCTTTCACTGAGGCACATCGGCCCAGTGACCTCGCGCATAAATTAACTCACACGCTACGGCGTATCGGTTTTATAAACCATATAACATTAATTAATTTTGTGTTACCCAAATAATAATATAATCAAAATAAAGTCTTACATCGAAAATCCGCGAGGACTTCTTATTTATATCTTAAAGTGTAAAGAACTAATCTACCAGTACAAGCCACTTCGCGCTGTTTAATAGCAATACCGAACCTACCAGTGCAAACAATAAAAGCTGTCTTACCTACATGAATTTACGTCAGCGGCACAGGCCCAATAAAAAGCCATTTGATACACCGAAGCCCCTGGAGCTCTTCGGTCAGCGACTCTTCACCAAGCCAGCGCGCAAGCGGGTTTAAGCAGCGAAGTTAACCAACACCCATAGACTTCAGCGAGGGATCATAAAAAAGCATTCGCGACTGCAGCGTGGGATGCAGTAGTTTTAGACGTCGACCATACTACCCTTGTAGAATTTTCAATTTGCGTGATTTACTTAAAATAAAATCCAAAAATACATAAGTGAGAAATATAAAAAATTGCAGTAATTGTGCTTCCAACTAACTTTGAGTAACACAATTTTGCATCCATCAGCAATTTTCAATAAACTCTCCTCTGTCAGCATTCATTTAATTTACTGTTTTTAATTTGAAGTTGTGTTGTTATTATTGTTGACAGTATAGTCCATGAACAACTCGTTTCTCAGGTACAGAACAAAATGGGAATGGAGCCTGAGCAGCTTAGAGCTTTGGTGCAGGCCGCCTTAGAAGCACAGAGCGCAGGAATGAAACAAAGAGATGCAGAACTGAGGGATTCCTTAAACGCTCGGATACAAGAATTGGCAGGCAGAATATCTGAATCCCTCAGTTCTGCTAACTTTTCTCACCAATAAGGTCAACATGTCCTACGAACCAAGCATGGCACAAGGGCTCTGTAGGAAGTTGAGAGATGATGCTGTTTATGTCTCAGGCCTAAAGCATAGCCTGACGGATGTCCTGTTAGCTGCAAAGCGTAAGGACTTACCGTCGGCCCTAGCTGTAGCGCAAGAGGTAGAGGCTAACCATGAGAGGTACGCCTTTGCAGTTGGCTTCGCTAAAGGGCAAGAAGATAGAGAAGGAATAGTGACCCCGAAGCCACAGGTCCGTCAACAGCAGGGGGATCCGCAACCCAGCGGTTCAAAATATCCTTACTATACTAAACAACAGAAACAGCAACAAAGTCAATTTGAGCAACAGAGTGGCAGGTGAAACAAAGGTGGCGGGTCACAGTACTCAATGGACGTCGATCCATCTGTGTCAAAAATTCTACAACCATCGCAGGCACCAGTCTACGTTAACTCTAGCGCTCCTCAAGCCTACAAAAGAACGGCCACGTCTGGGCGTTTAAGCGGACAGGGGAGGCAGAGAGTTAATCACACAGCTCACGAGCCTGATCAAGATTCAGGTTCGTATGCTAGCTCTGCAGCAGCAGCAGAACCGCAAATTGCCGACGTCAATGGTAGCGTATATGACTCAGACACTCTCAATTTTTTAGGGGAAGCTCCCTGCTGCACTACATCAGTAGGAGAGAGGAGGGATCCAGATGCGATTTTTTATCGACACGGGCGCTTCCAAGAATTATATCAGGCCACATAAAAATCTAAAAGGTGTATGCCCAGTAAATTCTTCCTTCTCTACCCATTCCATACACGGCACCACGAAGATCACTCATAAGTGCCTTATATCCCTGTTCGGCAAAACTGTCACATTTTTCTTACTCCTAGACCTGTCCACATTTGATGGAATTGCAGGAGTGTCGCTTTGTCTTTCTTCTGGCCAACTAAAATGTGGCGCAAAAACTGAACAAATTGAATTCCACAGGTGCGCGGATGTTAACCTTACCAATGTTGACTGCTCCGACGCGCCCGATGCTGCAAAATATGCATTCCTAAAGATGCTAATAAGGCCTTCACGGACCCGGAAGATGTACTTCCTTATAACACATCAGACACATCAGTGGTGGCCACTATCAGGACCACTGATGAAAAACCAGTTTATGTCCGACTGTACTCCTATCCCATGGGAGCAGCGGAATTCGTTAATAAAGAGATTCAAAGCCTTCTGAAGAACAGTATCATCAAAAAATCTGTTTCCACCTATAACAACCCCATTTTGGTGGTGGACAAGAAGGGGACGGCGAGTTTGGTAACAAGAATATGCGCCTCATAATGGATTTTCGCAAACTTAACGAGAAAACCATCGCAAAGCCAATTACTTTTCGACATTGGATCTAAAATCCGGCTATTACCAGATCACGCTAGCAGAGCGTGACCGTGAAAAAATAGCCTTTGCAGTTAACGGGGGAAAGTACGAATTTTGTCGACTTCCCTTTGGGTTGAAGAATGCGACCAGCATCTTCCAAAGAACTGTTGACGACGTACTGCGTGAGCAAATTGGCAAATCTTGTATCTATGTTGATGATGTCATCGTCTTCTCAAAAGACGAAAATTCTCATGTCCAACATGTAGAGTGGGTCCTAAGAAGCCTGTACGAGGCAAATATGAGAGTCTCCAAGGAAAAATCGCGTTTTTTAAAGAAAAGCGTAGGTTTCCTTGGTTTCGTGGTAACCAGTAATGGAGCTGCAACGGACCCTGAAAAAGTCAAAGCGATTCAGGAGTTCCCAGAGATCGAGATCAGATCATTTTTAGGACTGGCCAGTTACTATGGGTGTTTCATCAAAGACTGTGCCTCAATAGCAAAACCTATTTCTGATCTTCTAAAGGGCGATAATAGGTCAGTAAGTAAACATATATCGCAAAACATCCCTGTAGAATTCTCTGAGATTCAACGTCACGCATTCCAAAAGCTATGCAACATCTTGTCATCAGAAAACCTCATGCTCAGAAACCCTGACTTTAAGAAGCCGTTTGATCTTACGACATACGCTTCAGCTTACGGCATAGGGGCAGTGCTTTCTCAAGAGGGTCGCCCCATCTCAATGATTTCCAGAACATTGAAACCCCCGGAGGTGAACTACGCCAACAACGAGCGGGAACTGTTGGCTATAGTTTTGGCCCTTAGCAAACCAAGTTCCGACCTATATGTGATAAAAGACATTAACATTTTCACGGACCACCAACCGTTAACTTTTGCCGCTTCTGAGTCAAGCCCGAACACCAAAATTAAAGGGTAGAATGCGCTCATTGAGGACACGAATGCGCGAATATTTTATAAGACAGGCAAGGAGAATTTAGTTGCTGATGCGCTAATCAAATTGTCAAAATCAATCAAAATCAAATTGTCATTGAAGAGGCACGCGTCCCACCAAACGCAACTTCATTCTTTTCGAGGACGAGAGACGTCATGAAGTGAGCTTCACTGATCGCACAGTCCTTCTAGATGAACTCCTTGACTTGATTAATCCAAATGCAGTTAATGCCCTCTATTGCAACCTGCACACACTAGCACGGGTGCAGGGTCGCTTAGTTCGCATGTTTCCAGGCACAACGTTTTGGCACTGCCAAAACCGAGTTGCAGATGTCTTCAACGTTGACGAGAGGAAAGAAGTTCTCGTTGCGGAACATAATAGAGCACACAGAGCAGCTCAAGAAAATGTTAAGCAAGTGTTACAAGAATACTAATTCCCTAAAATGGCGAAGTTGGCTAAGGAATTTTCGGAAATTTGTAGAATTGGCTCAGCAGCCAAATACGATAGGCACCCGAAAAGACAGGAGCTAGGAGAAACTCCGATCCCTGAGACTTCTGGGGAATTTCCACACATTGATATTTTTTCCACGGACAACAAATTTTTTGACCTGTTTTGATAAGTTCTCTAAATTGGCAGTCGTACAACCAATTCAGTCGCGCACTATCAGGGACTTAAACGATCCACTACTGCAGCTTATGAATTTCTTTCCACGAACCAGAACAATTTATTGCGACAACGAGCCTTCGATGAATTCTCAAACGATAAAGACCCTGTTGTTAAACGACTACGGAGACCATATTGTTAAAGTGCCGGCGCTGCATAGCACCTCCAATGGCCAAGTCCAGCGCTTCCATAGCACTCTAGCCGAGCTAGCACGTTGCTTTAAGCTGGAGAGAAACATCAGTGACTCAGTCGAAGTAATAATGCTAACGATGCTAACGATAACAAGACAATAAATTCGGTCATCAACAAGAGACCTATTGATGCCCTCCATGTACCCTTAGGCGAACCTGAAGGGGAAATATCAGAAAAGTTAAGGAGTGTACAAGTTGCACTCCGGGCTAGGCTGAACGACCAGCTACAAAATAGAGTCTTTGATCGGATCGTGAGCAGACCTTGGCACGACCGTTCTCAGTGGAGGGTAGGTGGTCCACAAGGACAACCTTAAGTAGGGCGAGAGCAGAAATAAAACAACGATTCTATGCATCTTGAACTTAACTATAAGTTTTAACATTTGAGCCACTAGGCTTGACCTCTAAGTTATATTATTTACGCCACTTGGCATTACCTTTAGAAAGACACGTAGTAATAGTTTGGTTCGTTTTGTCTATCTTCCGCAGGTTCGGGTTTCTGCTATTTCTATTTTTTGCAAGTGCGGCAGCACATGTGACTAATTACTCACACGCCAAGTATATTCCCATTGTTGAGGGCCAAGTTCTGGTCTGGAGGAATTCAATTTCGTCAGGCACAGCAAACATCTCTGGGTACGAGAAAATAGTTAATGAAAAAGCTTCTAAGCGTAGATGCCTCAGAGATCTGTTAGAAGCTCTTGGCGTGCACCACAGGGTGGCAAGAAGTTTAGATTTCTTGGGCACAGCCCTCAAAGTAGTTGCGGGAACACCTGACGCCAGTGACTTCGGGAAGATCAAATTCACTGAGTTACAGTTGGTGAACTCTAACAACCGACAGGTAGCTATCAACACAAAAGTTCAGGAACAAATCAATCAACTCACTTCAAGTGTGAAGAATCAGGTAGTTTCCGGGCATTTATACGAAACTCTTTTAGCTCGGAATAGAATGTTGCTGATGGAAACGCAGAATTTGATGCTCGCTGTTACCCTTGCAAAAATTAATATCATAAGCTCAAATATATTAGATCACCCAGATTTAAAATCTGTTTAGATCGATGAACCCACAGGTACTTCAATAGCTGACCTTATGTCCGTTGCGTCCGTGAAAGTATTACAATCTGTTAATGCCCTTCACTTTATCATTTAGTTCCCGAAAATCAAAATGGCTTGCAGAAAGGTGATGCTGTATCCAGTTGCACATGAGAATGCTGTGCTACAAATTGACGACAACATTATAGCTAAGTGCGGAGATCAAGTGCTTGCCCTTAAGAATTGCACTTCCACGCCGGGAGGAACCATTCGTCAACTTTCACCGACCAGCTCTTAAGCCAGAGCACTGCATGTTGGTGGCTTGACAAACGGCCAAATATAGCCGAGTCACTTAGACCCGATCGCATGGGTCGATGACGGAATTTTGATCATCAATAACCGACCTGCTAAAGTTTGCACTGAGAACGGGACTGAGACTTGGGTTGACGGAACGAACTTAATAAGTTCAATAATTGGGCTCTGATCAACGAAACTAAGTACTTTAATCGCAACAACGTCCAGAGTAAGTTCCCCGGCATCGCGGCATCTCCGCTTGAATGAACGTAACCTGGAGATCATCAA